TGGGGTGGGGTGGGGTGGGGTGGGGTGGGGTGGGGTGGGATGGGATGGGGGTCAGGACTGGAACGGAACCGGGATGGGGAGCAGGATGGGAGCAGGGTGGGAATCCCTTTGAGGATATGGGTGGGGACCAGGATAAAGGCTGGTGCGGACCAGGATAGAGTGGAACGGGTCCAGTACGGGGACTGGGAAGGAACCAGCGTGGGATCAGGATGGGGACCAGAATGGGGACGGAGACGGGGACCAGGACGGGATGGACGGGACAGAGGGGATGGGAGCGGGGACAGGAGGGACGGGGACGGGATGCAGGCGATGGGGGTCCCGGGGTCAGGGTGGGGGTCCCGCAGCACCCTTACCGCAGGCCCAGATGTCCACAGGTTTGCCGTAGGCCTCCTTGCGCAGCACCTCGGGGGACAGGTAGCCGGGCGTGCCGGCGAAGCCTGGATGGGGCAGGGGCTGAGTGGGGGGCTGGGGCTGCAGGGGGGCCGGGGGGGGGGGGCACTCACCAAACCAGGCCTGCTGATCGCCCTGCACCTCGATGGCCAGCCCAAAGTCGGCCAGCTTCACCGCCGCGCCCTTACACTTGCTGGCCAGCAGGAGGTTCTCCGGCTGCGGGAGGGATGGGGGGCGGCCCCACATCATCACCCCACATCGTCGCCCCGCATCATCGCCCCGCATCATCGCCCCGCATCATCGCCCCGCATCGCTGCCCCACATCATTGCCCCACATCATCACCCCATGGCCGGTGTGTTGTAGGGCAGGGTGCCCCCCCGCCCCCAGGGCCGCAGACGCACAGGACGCAGAGGGCCACAGCAGCCGCGCTCACCTTGAGGTCTCTGTGCACGACCCCCATTTGGTGACAGTGCAGGACGGCCTCCAGGATCTGCTGGATGCAATGGCTGCGGGCAAACAGCCCAGGGGTCAGCAGGCACCACCAGCCCCCGACCCACCCCACTGTGGGGGCACAGCGACCCCCAACCCTGACGCTGAGCCTAACCCTGACCCCAAACCACAGCCCTAACGCTGAGCCTAACCCCATACCCTGACTCTTTAACCCAACCCCTAACCCTAAACCCTGAACTCAAATTACAACCCTAACCCCAAACCCCGATTCAAACCTCGACCCCTTTATCCTGACCCTAACTCTAAACCATTACCTTAACACTGACCCCAGATCATAACCCTGACCCCAAACTATAAACCTAACCCTCACCCTGACCTTAAGCTCTGACCCCAAACCATAACCCTAATGTTCACACTAATCTGTACCACGACCCTACCCCAAATCCAGACCCAAACTGACCCTACCCTTCACCCTAACCCTGACCTTAACCCTTAACCTGCGGCCCTGACCCCAAACCATAACCCTGACCCCAACCCCAAACCTCGACCCAAACCCACTCAGCCACGCTGTGCTGCACACACGGGCGCCCCCCCCCCCCCGGAGGGCGGGGGGGGGGGAGGGGGGGGGGGGGGGGGGGGGGGGAGACCCCGGGGGCCGCTGTGCCCCCCCCCATCGCTGGGGACCCCCAGACAGGACGGACAGGGAGCGGGAGGGCAATGAGACGAGACAAGAGAGGGAGGAGCGGGAGATGAGAGCTGAAATGGGGGTGAATGGGGCACCGGGGGGTGGGGGGGGGAAGCGGGGGCGACCTCCCCACAGCTTAGCATTGTTGAGGGCTTCTGTAATGATTCCTTTTGGAGGGGGAGCGGAGAGGGACCAAAAAAAAGTGATTGTTTAAATTTATGTTTTTCTTTTTCAAGGGGGAAATTGGAGAAAGGAGGAGGAAGCCCCAAAGCTGGGGGTGCGGAGAGGGGGAGCGCGAGGCTCCGGCTGGGCGGGGGGCACAGCCCCCCCC